TAGAGGGAAAGAGGAGGTAATATAGGTAATAACGTTTAAATAACTTTCGACATAATTTACTAGATTTCTTAAACTAGAAATAAAGTTAAAATAGATAGGATAACGAGAAATAGCTCGCTAAGTAAAGCAAGGATATAAGAGATCGAAAAAGAAAATAAAAAGCTATCTCGTATATAATAATATAAACTATATCCTATAAGACTTAGACGTCCTATAAATTTTAGACTTTTATATAGAATAAATATAATATAGATAAAGAAGTAGATAAAGAAGTAGATAAAGAAGTAGATAAAGAAGAGTAACCCTTTCTAAAGAATATAGAAGAGACTGTAATAATTAGGTTTCTTTATTTATAAAGCTATAAGATAATAGAATTAATTAGAAAGCTATTATAAATTAAAATACTATGAATGTATAGTAAAATAAAATTACTATTATACTACGACTATAGCTTTTGTACTAGAAATTAAAGTATTGATAAAATAGGCTATTAGTAGCTATTATAGTCTATACTATAATATAGCTTATACTAGTATAAGAATTTTACTAATACCTTAACTACTACTAGAATGTTATTATTTATTAGTACTATACTAGTATGAATAACCTTATAAAGTAAATAAAAGGGTAAAACTTATTATAAAACTTAGTAAACAGTCTACCAGATAAGTAATACTATATAATCTATACAAGTATATAGTAAAACTCTTTACTACTCTATATGTTACTAAATTCTATAAATAGTATATAAATATTAACTATACTCAATTTAAATACTCCTCTACTTTCAAAAAAAAACCCTCTTCTAGTAGGATCGAGATCTTAATTTTAGTAATTATTAATTATATACTATAGAATTAACTATTTTAAATTTTAATTCTACATAGTTTTAAGACTATAATAATCTATAAATCTAGTAAGTAAGTTTTGAAATATACTTAAAACCTAGAAAGAAAGATATAGATACACTAACTACTAAGTATTATAATTATATTAAGAATTATGTAATTCTAAAAATATATAGATATATATAGAAGCAAAACAATATATAAAGCTAAAAGCAGGTTACTTAGTTAAAGAGTGAGGTAAATTTTTAATAGCTAATTAGAGCTTTCTGAGCCTATTTCTTAGAAATAAGTATTTGTTAATAATAAATAATACTTTGAAGTATATAATTTATCCTTCTACTTGTTTTTGGGTTAGATACCCATCTAATACCTATTTAATATATATAGTAGATTAAAGTTTTATTATATAATACTATTACCTTTCTTAATAGAATAAAGTAAAGTAGATAAGAAAACTTTAAGTTAAATTAGTATAGATACTAGACTTGAAACTAACCAATTCTACAGGTCTTTAATTAATAGAGTAAGAAATAAGGGAATTAATTAATATTTAAGAAAATGTTTTAAGAATATAGAAAATTAATTAAAAATAGCTAGAAAGCAACTATAAGTTATAAGAATACTTTTATATAGGAAAGGGATTCTCCTAAAACTATATATAGAGTATAGATACGATTATAACCTAAGCGCTAAAAATTAAATAATACAAATACTAAGTAATAAGCAATTTAATTAGGTTCTAGTTTTATAAGGAACAGTAAATTTACTATTAAATAATAAGAGTTCTAAATTATAAAGGTCGACCTCGAAATTTCTAGATAAACTTTATTAATATTATAGAAATACCCTAATAGTCTAGAGTTTCTTATTTAAGATGTTTTTAATAAAGAAAATATTGAGGAGAGGCGTACTAAGTAAAATTCAAAGATATACAAATAGAAAGGAAACATATAGCTGATCCTTACTAAGTCTTGAATCTAGCCTTAAAAAAGCTGAAACTATAACCCCCTAGAGAGTCCTATTTAGTAGCTAAGGGTAGCTAGATAAAGTCTATAGAGCTTAGAAGTATATTAGGAAATAGGGTTTTCGCTTAGTTGATACTTTAAGTTAATACAATTTGTTTAGTACAAAGTCATATCTATAAATAAGTTTAATAAAACTTCGATATACTAAGTTATTATTAAATAATCTTAGAAAGTTTAGAGATATAAATTGAACTTCTATATCCGTAGAGAAGAGGGCCTTATAAGCCTAGAGAACCTTCTTCCTTCTTTAATTAATCTAGTTAGAGAATATGAAGGAGAGGATAAACACGCCTAGTAGTACAAAAAGATAATATAATAGGAAAAGACTAAAAAACAATTAATAGCTTACTCTTTGAATTCGAAGCTAAATAGCTATTAGTATATAGAGGATATTAATAAGAAAGCCTTTTCTTATAAAGATCTTATTGTTTTTAATATAAAAGTATAAAGCAATAGTATAACTTTATAATACCTAATAATAAGTATTCTATATTTAATACTTATAGATAGTAAAGTATAATAAAGTCTACATCTATTTTATATTAGAATATATTAACTACTTTAAAGTATCGATATGGGTAGTATTAGTAAAAGGGAATATTAATCTATAAATATTATATAATATAGAAGGAGTAAAACACACCTTATTCTATTTAAATACTAAAATTGGGATAGAGACTTTAATTTTTTACTTTAATAAAACTATTCAAGCTACTTATAAAGTCTTTCTTTCTCTTAGGAGCTATATATAAGAAGGTAAAGAGACCTTGTATTTCCTAATACTAAATTTATATTACTAATTTACTTTTTGAATTAATAAACCTCCTAAATCTACTTATATCTCTTAGTATCTATAATAATCCCCTAAGTCCCTTCTATTATTAGAACCTAATCTATAATATACTTAGTTACGAGTTCCTATTAGAGTTATAGAGAGACCGAAAGAACGCAAGTTAGGTTAAAGTCGAAAGTCTAGATCTAAAGTCCGCTTTACTCGTTATATAATATTTAGTAGGTTAACGTCAAACACCAGAGCGCGGTCCACCCCACGGCGTGGTCCACGAATTACGTGTCTACCACCTTTAACACTAATTATCTCAACCAATACTTAATAGATTGCTTTGAGACTTAAATGTGTTATATAACAATACTATTCAATCTACTGTACAGTGTTTGAAGGTGTGAGCAAAGGAACCACACTTGCTACACCGACTAGCACGCTTTGGAGCCCTTGGCATCTGCTCCCTTATTTGTGCTTCAACCTCCTCTTGCTCAACTATCCCTTGGATCTGAGAGGCTGACAGGGCAGGATCTAATGTGATTGCTTTCCTCTTCCTGGATTTGCGTTCATGCATTGCTTTGTTAGCATCTTGTAAAGCAAAAACCTGAGACTGAAGTAGAGCAGC